TGGTACACAGTACACATGGGGTACAGAGTAATATGGTACACATTACACATGGGTTACAGAGTAATATGGTACACAGTACACATTAGGTACGGAGTAATATGGTACACAGTACACATGGGGTACAGAGTAATATGTTACACAGTACACATTAGGTACGGAATAATATGGTACACAGTACACATTAGGTACAGAGTAATATGGTACATAGGACACATGGGGTACAGAGTAATATTGTACACAGTACACATTAGGTACGGAGTAATATGGTACACAGTACACATGGAGTAGAGTAATATGTTACACGGTACACATGGGGTACAAAGTAATATGTTACACAGTACATATGGAGTACAGAGTAATATGGTACATAGTACACATGGGGTACAGAGTAATATGGTACACAGTACACATTAGGTACAGAGTATATGGTACACATTAGGTACAGAATAAAATGGTACACGGTACACATGAAGTACAGAGTAATATGGTACACAGTACACATGGGGTACATAGTTATATGGTACACAGTACACATTAGGTACGGAGTAATATGGTACACAGTACACATGTGGTACAGAGTAATATGGTACACAGTACACATGGAGGACAGAGTAATATGTTACACAGTACAAATGGGGTACAAAGTAATATGGTACACAGTACACATGGAATACAGAGTAATATGGTACATAGTACACATGGAGTACAGAGTAATATGGTACACAGTACACATTAGGTACAGAGTAATATGGTACACATTAGGTACAGAGTAATATGGTACACAGTCACATGGAGTACAGAGTAATATGGTACACAGTACACATTAGGTACGGAGTAATATGGTACACAGTACACATGGGGTACAGAGTAATATGGTACACAGTACACATNTATGGTACACAGTACACATTAGGTACGGAGTAATATGGTACACAGTACACATTAGGTACGGAGTAATATCCCCTGTGAAAATTTCTAGAACAGTTCTAGAACTGTCCTTCATAGGTTCTGGAACAGTTTCAGAACAT